GATTAGCAGTAATCACAAAAAGCTGTTAAAATAGACTGCAGGCAACATTTTAATTAACTAGGACCTCAAGTTTATAGTGAGGGACGTTTGTGTGATCATGTCCTTGTCATGTTCTCTTAACGCTTGTATTTATGCACATTCTAATTGATTTGTAATTTGCAAGGGTTCTGTGGGTTATTAGTGCAAATTAACAAGTTGCTGGTTTATATACATATACATGTATATGCATATATATATATATATATATATATTTAAACAGGAACATTTCCCTTTTTCTTTTCATGTGATTAGGCTTTAGACAGTCCTATAAATTGTATCCCTAAGCATAAAGACTAAATTTAGCGTAAGCTAAATTATCCAACTCTGCATCATCAAGATGGATATTGCAGTTGGGGTGTGTGCAGTAAATGGCACATTCAGTCCTGTGTGGTTTTCTGGTCAGCCTTGTCCCCTCTGCGTGAGCAGGCCCATTGCAGTTTAAGAAGGGGACTGTGTTAATACGATGAAGGAATGGCTGCATGTGGCAGTGCGGGCATCCGAGAAGATTAATGATCTTGCCTGCAGTACTTGTCATACCTCCCCCAACTATTGAAAATTAAATGTCATGTATAACAACTCACTCTCCATTACTTAATTACATGTGGAAAACGTGTACTGTGTAAAAAACTCCTGAGGCTAAAGAAGGCCAAATGAGACCGAAACCATTGGAAAGATTTAGTGCTGGCTGTCAAGCCCTACTGAGTAAAAGTGAACTTAGCATAGGACCCACCTTCCTGCCTTGATTGAACATATGTCTTGGTTTTGGAATTTAAAAAAATATCATGACCCGTTATTCTCTGGCAGTATCCCTGAAAGATGATACTGACTTAAAATTAATGTGACTGGGGCTGGGAATATGGCTTAGTGGTAGAGTGCTTGACTAGCATGCATGCAGCCCTGGGTTCGATTCCTCAGTACTTCATAAACAGAAAAAGTGGGAAGTGGTGCTCTGGTTTAAGTGGTAGAGTGCTAGGCTAGCCTTGAGCAAAAGAAGCCCAACGACGCTGCCTAGGCCCTGAGTTCAGGCCCAAGGACTTGCAAAAGAGAAAAAAAAAAAAAAGAAAGAAAAAGGAAAAGAAAAAAATGAATGTGACTATATTACAGTCTAGGAGATGTCCATCTGAAGGAGCACCTTGAATGCCTACTTTTGACTCATTAAGTCTAGTTTGGTAAACAGGAGGAGGGAAGACTATGCAAATGAGCCTGGGTCTTTTTTGTTGTTGTTTGCATTTCTATGAATATTATTTTATGTGATCGGAGCACACAGGCATTGTGCTTTTGTGTTCCTCCCCTAAGAATATCCTCCTGGGGGAGGGGAGAGAGCTGAAACTGGGGCTTGAACTCAAGGCCTTATGCTCTCATTTGGCTTTTATAATCAAGGTTGGGGCTCTACCACTTGAACCACAGCTCTACTTCCAGCTCTTTGGTGGTAACTGGCTTTTCCAGTTCATTGGAGATGAGTCTCACTGACTTTTCTGCCCAGGCTGGATCTGAACTGTGATCTCAGCCTCCTAAATACCTAGCATTATAGGGGGGAGCCATCAGCACCTGGCTCAAGCCTGATTCTTATTCTCATGGGGAAACATTCATTCTTTTATTCAGCAAGTGTCTCCTGGAAGTCAGCCACATAAAGAACTCAAATCTCTGCTGTAAGTGGGAGGCAGGAAGCAAGCCACCATCCCATGCCTCATGCAGTGACCTAAGTGCTGTAGGAACAGAGAGACACCCCTAGCCCAGCCTTTGGGACGTCTGTGGGAAGGCATCCCAGAGAAAGATGCTTAGCTAAGGCCTGAGCAACAAGAAAGCAAAATCACAATGCAAACAGAAGTTCAGGTTCCAGGACAGGTGTTATATATCCTGTACACTTGAACATGTACTTGTCAGATAAAAGCAGTTTTCCTTTAGAAAAGTGCCTTAGACAGCACAGATTGTTTCTGACTGAGGGACCATTAGAGAATACATCACCTTTTTAGAGAGCATTTTAAAGAATTACCCCTGGCATAGGTGACAAAATGTTTTCAGGAAGAGGCTGCCATTGGTGCTGATCTCCTATAGGAGTTAGGCATGGGGGAAAGGGAACAGAGCTCTAGCAACCTCAAGGCTCTTCATGCATGTTCATGGACCATGTGGTAGACCTATATGATTATTGCAGTGTCTGAAATGCTAACACTTGCATAATTTCTTGCAGTACTTGTGTTCTGTATAGTACTACCCATTTTAAATAATAATTTTTATTGATTTTATCTTGTAAATAGAATTTGTAAGCCTGCTACTTTTGAGAACAAGATGAGGTCAGAATGATGTGACATCTTAATGTATGCATGTAAATATCAAGCCTCTCTCCCTCTGAGATACCATGCTCACCAGGGTGCATTCAGTCCAGTTACGAGTCCATTGATTCCACTGGGGATACATTTCAGAAACCATCTTAACCTTTCTGTAATGTCTGCAGTGGCTGTAAATTTTCATCTTGTGAAATGGATTTTAACCATTCTGAAGTGACCACATTTTTTAATAGAGCCATTCATGAATTAAGTGAATCCAGTTAATTCAATAAGGTGTTGTAACCAACAATACCTGTCTATCTATCTCCTCTTATCTATCTATCTCACCTCTGTGTGTGTGTGTGTGTGTGTGTGTGTGTGTGTGTGTGTATGTATCCATCTTCCTCCTCCCTCCCTTCCTTCCTTTTTTGTCTATCTGCCTTCCTTTCTTTCCATCCTTCTCCCTCCCTCCCTTTTTTTCCTTTTCTATTTCTTCTTCCTCCCTCCCTCCCTCCCTCCCTCCCTCCCTTCCTTCCTTCCTTCCTCCCCTCCTCCCTCCCTTCCTTTCTCCCTTCCTTCCTCCCCTTCCTTCCCCTTCCTTCCTTCCTTCCTTCTTTCCTTCCTTCTTTCCTTCTTTCCTTCCTTCCTTCCTCCCCTTCCTTCCTTCCTTCCTTCCTTCCTTCCTTCTTTCTTTCTTTCTTTCTTTCTTTCTTTCTTTCTTTCTTTCTTTCTTTCT